GTTTATCTGCAGTAAGATTATTTTTCAATTGAGCGGTGAATGTACTGAGTGAATCGCAAGTTTTTATTTCGGGTGGTTTTAAGCGACAACTTGAAGTCTTTATTTAAAATATCTGCGTACAACCACTTTTTTTTGCTCTTAGCTTTGGATCCGCATCTCTTTTATTTCATTAATCAATGTACGGTTGATACTTATTTTCAATTCTAAGTTCTGTGCCCGGATAATTTCTCTTGCCCCTTTTTCTGGAATAATGACTCTCGTACTTTGGGAAGGAATTGATATGTTGATATATACTCTTTATGGTTTTGGTAAGAGCTTTCTTTTTCCACGAGAGTTCTCATCTATTTTGCAATTATTAAACAACGAATTTATTATACAACTTTTAACCATCTAACACTATTGCGAAATAAATAAATTGGTTACAATTATTTTAGTTCATGAAAATTCCGCCAGGCACTTGTCCGGATGGTAAATAACAGTGCACACATTTATTAGAGGTAAACAACACCAAATCCACATGGTGTTGTTTACCTCTGACTGGAAGTGGACTTGGTGTTTATTAAAAAGTTGGTAACTTGCCATAGAATTGTCTCTGGACATAGTATGGTTTACCTCTGTGTAGAGGCAGAAAAGGTATATGAGGAATTCTACAAAAATTCGCACCTTAACTGGAGCCAAATATGATGATATTGCAATTTGCTGCCCGTACCCCACAGTAACAATTTTTGTCTGTAGGTTGATACCAAAAAACATGTTTTCAGGTGCGAGCCTCAAAAAGAAAGACAAATTTAAGTTTTTTCCAACAAAAACTGATTTGTTCGCTAAAGCTATTTTATTCTTCTAGCGATCTGCCTCGAAAAACGAGTGAAAAAGACTTCTATACTTGAAGCACACATACTTATCAGGTACCAATCGCTTCGTCTTGGTCTCCAGAGGGAACTCTGATCCTTTGAAGAGCCAAGAAACACCTGCTCAAAGCGTGGCAAGCGGTTATTCAGTCCCTAAAATCCACGTTTTTTTTTTCATTTTTTCGCGATTTTACCCGAAAATAGATTAAAAGATACCTCTATAGTTGAAGCACACATGCATATTAGGTACCAATCGCTTCGTATTGATCTTCAGAATGAATTCTGACCCTTAGAAGAGCCAAGAAACATCTGCTCAAAGCATGGCAAACGGTTATTCAATCCCTGAAATCGACTTTTTTTTCATTTTTTCGCAATTTTATCCAAAATAGATTAAAAGCTACCTCTAAAGTTGGAGCACACATACATATTAGGTACCAATCGCTTCGTCTTGATCCCCAAAATAAATTCTGACCCTTTCAAGAGCCAAGAAACACCTGCTCAAAACGTGACAAGCAGTCACTAAAATCGACGTTTTTTTCATTTTTTTCGCGATTTTACCCGAAAATAGATTAAAAGATACCTCTATAGTTGGAGCACACATACATGTTAGGTACCAATCGCTTCGTCTTGGTCCTCAGAATGAACTCTGACCCTTTGAAGAACCAAAAAAAAACTCAAAGCGTGTCAAACGGTTATTCAGTCCCTAAAATCGACGTTTTTTTCATTTTTTTCGCGATTTTATCCGAAAATCGATTAAAAGATACCTCTATAGTTGAAGCACACATACTTATTAGGTACCTATCGCTTTGTCTTGATCCCCAGAATAAATTCTGACCCTTTGAAGAGCCAAAAAACACCTGCTCAAAGCGTGGCAAGCGGTTATTGTCACTAAAATCGACGTTTTTTTTTTCATTTTTTCGCGATTTTACCCGAAAGTAGATTAAAAGATACCTCTATAGTTGGAGCACACATACATGTTAGGTACCAATAGCTTCGTCTTGGTCCCCAGAATGAACTCTGAGCCTTTGAAGAACCAAAAAAAAAGCTGAAAGCGTGGCAAACGGTTATTCAGTCCCTGAAATCGACGTTTGAGCTTGAGAATAGCATCCAGTTTTTAGATATGCGAATAATTCACACAAAGGATAACACATTGGGCACTATCTGATACAGAAAAGAAATGGTTAGCAACCGTTTCTTAAATTACAACTCTACACCTAACGAGATACAAACATCACCTCTTACAAACCTTTAGCCGTATTACAAAAGCACCCAATGGTGATGAATTAGCTTCCATTTCTAACAACATACAGATGAACAACTCCCCATTCACTCCAAGACTAGCCACAAAATATACTTATTTCCCGTACTTCGCACAAATAACGAATAAGCTTACCAAACTCTTCAATAACTTATCAGCTAAAATAGCCGTAAAAACACCAGAACTGTAGGACAGTTGTTTTCGAAAACTAACACTGCATTAACCCGTTTAGAACATACCAATATTATCTATCATATACACTGTGCAAAGTGCAACTCCTGCTACATGGGCCAGAACAGTTGTTCTCTTTAAGGTCGGCTAACGTGCCACAAAAGTGACATTAGGATTTCTAAACACTCTTGTGCCCTTGCACAACATGCCATTTTAACTAAGCACCTAATCGACTTCACAAACGTCAAAATTTGAAAACGACAATATTACCATAAGAGATCCTTCCTAGAAATGTGCCAAATTCTAAAACATCCAACACCCTGAATAAAAGAACGGACATTGATAATTTGAGCCAAATATATCAGTCTTTTATCATACAGAACAAATAAGAACACTTCATATCCCATTATATCCATATCCAATGAATGCTGCCTTCTTCTTATTTGTCAACATAAATGACCGATTAAACCTCGGAATTCATCTGTTGAATACATTATATATATATATATATATATATATATATATATATACACACACAAAAGACCCTTTTACACCTGCATATAAAAATCAGAATTGTTATACTTGTATATTATTTACACAATATTAAAAAAAACCAAAATATAGTGTGATCAGTTAAATGATACTTATGAAGAAATAATTTAAACCACACACCGGTATTTTTTATCATTCTATTTTTACAAAAAGGTTTTCTCCTACATACAATAAGAATTCAAAATAATAAGAAATATCTATGAGAAGTGAAATGAGATGGCCGGGGTCTGGAAAAGTAACTGTAGATGATCACATTGTATATTATTCAGGAGAAGACAGCTCAAAACACAAAAATGGTGTAGCAATAATTGTGTCGAAGTAAACAGATGAAGCTGTAAAAAACGTCGTCCTATTCTCAGACAGAATACTGATGATACAAATACAATCAACAACAATCAATGTAAACATATTACAAGTATATGCACCCACACAAGACTATGAACCAGAAGAAATTGAAAAATTCTATCATGATTTAGAAAAAGTATTAGCACCTACAAAGAAACACGATCTCAATATTATCATGGGAGATTTTAATGCAAAGATTGGTGAAGGTGAACAGGAAGTTTTCGAACACAATTTTCAAACTTCCAAAACGTCGTCTTTACACCTGGTAATCACCAGCAGATACACCTGAACGAGTTGTTCGTAACCAAATAGACTTCATATGTATAAATAAGAGATACAGAAATTCAGTATTAACAGTAAAAACATATCCAGGCGCAGAAGTACCAACAGATCACAATATTTTAGTAGGAAAAATAAGACTGAGATTAAGCAAACAGTTACTATTGATAGAGAAACGATGCTAAATGATACTGTAAAACAAGAAATAACTAGTATATTAGAACAAAAAATGAAGTTAACATCAAGCAAAGAAGAAAGCACTGAGGAAAACTGGACGAGAATTAAAGACATCTTAAAGACTGTTCAAGAAACAAAATTGAGTGCGCTAAAAGCAAGATAAAAACAAGGGTGGATGACATAAGAAATACTGAGACTTATGGACCAAAGAAGGGAGGTCAGAAATAAAGATAAAAACGAATACAAGAGGATCCACGCAATAATCAGGCAGAAGATCAGACACGCGAAAATACAATTTCATAGTAAAGAATGTAATGAAATTGAACAATATAAAAAGAAACACGATACATTTCATCTGCACAAGAAATTAAAAGAGGTCACTGGAAACAAACGGAAACAAGTATCCCAAAGTTTAGAAGACAGAAACGGACACAGAACATTAGACATCAATGAAAAGTTAAAAGAATGGGAAAACTACATTTCTGAATTATTTGAAAATGAGAGAGTAGAACACTATACACCGATTGCTATATCAGGTCCATCTATAACAGAAAGTGAGGTAAGACGTTCAATACAAACGGCAAAAAATGGAAAAGCACTTGGCCCCGATGAAGTAAGTGCTGAAATACTAAAGTTTTTGGGAGAAAATGGATTTAAATCTCTGTGTAATCTCTTTAACAGAATTTATGACACTGGGATATTACCAACTGATTGGTTAAAGTCGACATTTGTCACAATACCTAAGAAACATCGTCCAAAGACATGCGGTGATTATCGGACAATAAGTCTGATGAGTCACGTTTTGAAGATCTTCCTGCGAGTAATACACCGCAGAATTTACACGCTGTTAGAGGACAGAATTAGCAATACTCAATTTGGGTTTAGGAGTGGCTTGGGTACAAGAGAAGCCTTGTTTAGTATACAGGTGCTAGTAGAGATGTTATGCTGCCTTAGTACGTTATGAATGGAGATATGAAGAAGAGAAGACATGGAGCGAATAATAGTTGAAGGTAACATATCGGGTAAAAGATCCAGAGGAAGATCTCCAGTACGATGTTCGGACCAAATAAAGGTGATGACTAGTTACTTACGAAGGAGAAAAGATTGAGGAGGACATTATGAATCTAATAGATAAGTTGATTCGTGGTGCAGATAATATTCCTACATACTTCCTCAAATATACCCCTTATCTAAATCAATTCAATGATTGTTTAATTTTTCCTTTCAATCACAAACTTTTTCTATTAGGTGGAGTGATAGGTTTGTTGCTTTAGTTCAGAAAAGATTTTAACTAATCTTGCCCTGTATCAAAATTACATAGTCCTTAGAATATGTTACAGATGAAATAACAAAATATTAAAATTACTTACCCAATTCTTTGGCAACATCTTCAAGTTTGGATTGAGTCCTACTAATTAGTACTATATTTAATCCTTTCTTTGCTAAGATTTCAGCATATGCTTTGCCGATTCCATCTGTGGCCCCCGTTATAACTAAAAGAATTTTATAAAAATTAGTTTGTTGTTCACGCATCAAACAAATGTCAATTATTGGAATAAATTAAATATTGTTTTTATTAAAGGCAAAATTATTATGAGAGATTTGGATCCAACATTACTTCTAGGCAAAATATATCATACATTTTTAAATATTAAGTAAACTAAAGTAAAGTAAAGAAAATAGTAAACTTGAACAGATTAAAAAATAATTTCTGGTACTTGGGCTTCTGAAAATTTATTTTTCAACTTTCCATTTTAATTCTGAAATGTACTCATTCAGCTTTAAAGAAATATTTAAATACTTGACAACACTGCAGTGTATTTAACGTTAGGAGCTCGATTTCTTCGGCTTGCCTGTCAGAGAAGACAATTTAATAATATAAAATTTGGTTCACGCACAACGAGCTACTTCTTGTTTATTTTCTCTGTACATGATCTTCTCAGAAGCTTAGTGATGATTCCCACCTTGGATGGACCTAACCTAACCTAACCTTGGATCACAGAGCACGTCAACAACTGATGAAAACGTCAAAGAAGTGGGATAAACGTAGAATCACTACTAGAAGAAGTTGCTTGGGATGTTGCCATATTGGTTGGATCATGCCATAGTCTTGTCATAAATATTGATATAAGGTATTAAACTAAAAAAATTTCACTACTAAACTACTAAATTCATTTGAAAAAGTTTTGTACTTTAATTTATTACTAATATAATGAACTACAAACTACAAAAATTATTCAAAATGACCGCTATATGCCTGAATACAGTGCCGAAGTCTATTAGGCCATTCATCGATCGTTTTACTGACGATATACATAGACATATTGTCCCCAACTTCTTACAGAAGTCTCCCCTCCTTCTGTTTCAATGACTCTTGATTATGGTGAGGTCTTTTACAGAGACAGACCATGTTCTCTGAAAATAACCGCAATTAGTAGTTAAGTAGATTAAGGTCTGGGCTATCTGATGGTCAATGTTCACTACTAAAAAATTCCGGTATACGGTTTTCAAGCCACTGTTGAGTTGTTTCGTCTTATGCATAGGTGCAGAGTCTCGTTGGTATATCCATGGTCTATTTTGGAACATTTGTGGTTTAGATACTCCACTACATTTATTAAAATGTCCCGCTGATAATTTCTCGTCGCTATTTTAACGCCTTTTTCATAAAAATGTAAAGAAGTGACGCCGTCATAGGACACTTCCCACCAAACCATCACTGAGTCAGGAAAATGTCGTCATTTGATCCTTGGCACCAGTTTGCAGACTTCCTTGGATAAACGTGCATCAACTTCAACGTTTTGTTTATTGAAAGTTTTCTCCAGGCTAAAATTGTTTTATCAATAAAGAGGATTTCTTTGTAACGCTTTACCGCACAACTACAATAAGCGTCTTGATTTTTTTATTTCACTGCAACGATACAGCGTTGTTAACCGATCGAAAATCCCCAGTCTTTTTTGATAATGTAAAAGCCGGGTACACACATGCCAGTAAATCGGGAAAGTAGCTGGCATGCCAGTTGCTGGCATATTCCAGTAACTAGCAAGCACAAAACACATTTGCTAGTAATTGGCATGCCAGTAGCTCGCTTACCTACTGGCAAGCGCAATTCCCCAACAATTCCCCAAAAAACGCACATATAGAACGGATTTAAAAACAAGGGAATTTAGCAGAAAATATAAAATACAAGATGTAGTTGTTTGTAGGGAGATGTATGTAAAAACCTTTGCAAATCTTTATAAAAAAATTTATTTTTAATAAATACTGCTCTTAAAAAGTTTAGGGGCGAGGCACCTATTACAGATCAAAGAGGGATAAAGCAAGGAGGGCACAATAAACTAAGCGAGCAGAAAATACGAACTGTTGTGGATCAGGTAAAAAAACCCAAAATATAAGTCGCATTACTGTTGAGCATAAACAATCTACGAATTTTTGCCTCCGGAAATTACTCTTTAAAAATTTTTTTACGAAAAATTTAATTTAAAATTTAAACGTTTAAAAAAGGATACCTGTAACTCTTGCGATAGTCTTAAAATTCAAGCAGATAATGAAACCGATCCAGATAAAAACAAAAGAACTACAAAAAAGCACAACAAACACCTTGAGATCGCCGAAAACACCCAAAGATTAAGAAAAGAAGATTTTTTATTAGCCAAAAATAATGATTACATGGAATGTCTTACGTTTGATCTAGAAAAAACTTTGCCTCTGCCAAGAATCCCGTCAAACATAGTTTTTTTTTATAAATGGGTCTATAAGCCTATATATAAGTTCATGAAAATTCCGCCAGGTACTAGGGTACATAACACTATGTCCGGATGGTAAATAACAGTGCACACATTTATTAGAGGTAAACAACACCAAATCCACATGGTGTTGTTTACCTCTGACTGGAAGTGGACTTGGTGTTTATTAAAAAGTTGGTAGCTTGCCATAGAATTGTCTCTGGACATAGTATGGTTTACCTCTGTGTAGAGTCTTACGTTTGATCTAGAAAAAACTTTGCCTCTCCAAGAATCCCGTTAAACATAGTTTTTTTTATAAATGGGTCTATAAGCCTATATATAAGGGTCATATAAGCTATGGGTCTATCAGCCTATCGAGCAGGCTGGATTTAGAAAACATTTTAATACCATAGACCACTTGCACACCGTAAGAACACTGATAGAAAAATGCACTGAGTATTATGTTCCAATTCATATGGCGTTCGTGGATTTCCATAAGGCATTCGATTCCATCTAATTATGGGCAGTGCTTGAATCTCTAGAAAATGCACGCATAGATTCAAGATACACTAACATATTTAAAAACATATAGGAAAATGCCACCATGCAGATAAAGCTGGACGAAAGCACAAAAACTAATCCCATAAGACTACAACGGGGAGTAAGACAAGGAGACACTATCTCTCCCAAACTATTTATCCTTGCTCTAGAAGATATTTTTAAGAAACTGGAATGCAACAATAAGGGTATCAACGTCGACGGATCATACTTAAACCACTTGTGATTCGCAGATGACATAGTTTTAATAGCCGATAATATCCAAGAACTAAATGATATGTTACAACAATTAAATGCAGTTTCAGAAGCTGTAGGTTTAAAAATGAACTACAGTAAAACAAAAATACTGAGCCGACACCAGACAAATACAACAATACAAAATCATACCATAGAAAATGTTGAACATTATGTATATCTAGGTCATGTTATCAAACTAGGAAAACCAAATCAAGATGCTGAAATTAAAAGAAGAACACAACTGGCATGGGGCGCTTTCGGCAAACTAGCACATGTTTTAAAAAGCACATTCATTCCTATAAACTTAAAGAAAAAGGTGTATAACACATGCATACTGCCAGTTTGTACCTACGGCTTGGAGACAGTAGCCCTTACCAAAAAATCTGCTAAAAAATTAGAAACAACGCAAAGAGCAACGGAACGAATCATGCTTGGAATATCACTAAGAGACAAGATTAGAAACACCGAGATAAGACGTAGAAACGAAGATTAGGGACATTGTGGAAGAAATTACAAAAATGAAACGGCGCTGGGCAGGTCACGTAGCCCGATATAATCACAACATGTGGACACGGAGAATTCTAGAGTGGAGACCAAGGACGACAACAAGAAACATGGGAAGACCTCAAAAAAGATGGGTAGATGACATAAGAGCAGTGGCAGGCAAACAGTGGATTAGATTGGCGTAAGATAGAGAAGGATGGAAGCAATTGGGAGAGACCTACATTCAGGAGTGGATGGAAAATGGTTGACAAAGAAGATGGGTTTATAATGCTGGCATACATAGTAGAAAAGACGATAGGGGATTTTGTTATATTTGGGCTGAGGGCGTCGCAGGACGAGGTGCTCAAAAAGTAGATTCTTGTATCCTTAAACATGTAAAAAGTAACTTGTTGCCGACTGTTCGTCATCGTATATTATGGAGTGACTCATGTGACGGTCAGAACCGAAATGTTAAGCTTACTCTTATGCTAAAATATATTTTACACAGTACCCCTGAACTGGAAGATATAACACTAAAATTTTTATATTCAGGACACAGCTTCTTATCAAATGATTCGGATTTTGCTGCTATAGAATCCGATCCAGATAAAAAATAAAAAGCCCTAAAGCATCAACAAAGACTTTACATACCAGAGGAATACATGAACGTTATGCGTAGCTATCTATCTATCTATCTAATTAGCCTTCTTCGGTCCATCTTTGGAGATAGGCCTCCCCAATCCTTTTCCATTCTTCTCTGTCTTTCGCTACAGTCATCCATCTAGAGCCCACGTGCTTCTTGATATCATCTGCCCATCTCATTTGGGGCCTTCCTCTGCTTCGTTTATATTCCCACGGTCTCCAACTTATAAGAATTTTGTTCCATCGGTCTTCTTTTTGTCTTATATTGTGTCCGGCAAATCTCCATTTCAATTTTGCAACTTCTTGTCTAACATCCCTCACTTTTGTTTTTTCTCTTATCCACTCGTTTCTCTTCTTATCCATTAGTCTTATGTGCAACATTTGTCTTTCCATTGCTTTTTGGGTTTTTATCATTTTGTCCATGTTTGCTTTTGTAGATGTCTACGTTTGGGAACCATAAGTAAGAACAGGGAGTACGCATTGATTATATACTTTGGTCTTAAGATGCTGTGGAGATCTTTTGTTTTTAAGAATGTATCTTAGTTTGCCAAATGCCGCCCATGCCAGTCTAACTCGTCTCTTGATCTCCGCTGTTTGGTTCTCTTTGTTAAGTTTTATAGTTTGACCAAGATATATATATATATATATATATATATATATATATATATATATATAATCCTTAACTTGTTCTATTTCATCTTGTCCGATTCTCATTGTGATGTCTTCATCTGTATTTGTTATAGTTTTGGTCTTGCTGTAATTCATATTAAGTCCTATCTTTCCAGCTTCTACGTCCAGTTCTTTCATCATTTCAAATAATTCTTCTTTTTTATCGGTTATCAATACGATGT